CGTCCTTAACCCCTTAAGGACGGAGCCAAATGTACACGTTGTGAACGAAACAAAATGTAAACAAAACCTGGCATTTGCGCTACATGTCTGTCCAACCGTAATTCACCTCTTTCATAGTAAATGCACCCACCCTTATTATATATCATTTTATTCAGGGGAAACAGGGCTTTCATTTAATATAAAATATTTAGCTATGAAACATAATTTAATATGAAAAAAATGGGAGAAAATACGTTTTTTTTTTTTTTTTAGTTCTACATGACATTTTAACGGTCAGTGTCATAATACTGTTTGCTTTTACTGCAATAAAATACACATATTTATATTCAGTAAAGTCTCACGTGTAAGACAGTACCCCCTATGTACAGGTTTTATGGCGTTTTGGGAAGTTACAGGGTCAAATATAGCACGTTACATTTGAAATTGAAATTCGCCAGATTGGTTACGTTGCCTTTGGGACTGTATAGTAGCCCAGGAATGAAATTTACACCCATAATGGCATACCATTTGCAATAGTAGACAACCCAAGGTATTGCAAATGGGGTATGTCCAGTCTTTTTAGTAGCCATTTGGTCACAAACACTGGCCAAAGTTAGCGTTAGTATTTGTTTGTGTGTGAAAAATGCAAAAAACGCCAATTTTGGCCAGTGTTTGTGACTAAGTGGCTACTAAAAAAGACTGGACATACCCTGTTTGCAATACCTTGGGTTGTCTACTATTGCAAATGGTATGCCATCATAGGGGTAATTTTCATTCTTGGGCTACCATAGGGTCTCAAAGGCAACGTAACCAATCTGGCGAATTTTAATGTGAAAAAAATGAAACACAAGCCTTATATTTGATGCTGTAACTTTTGAAAACACCATAAAACCTGTAAATGAGGGGTACTGTTGTACTCGGGAGACTTCGCTGAACACAATTATTTGTGTTTCAAAACAGTAAAAAGTATTGCAGCAATAATATCATCCGTGTAAGTGCTGTTTGTGCGTGAAAAATGCAAAAAAACTTCACTTTTACTGGCGATATCATTGTTGTAATACATTTTACTGTTTTGAAACACTAATATTTGTGTTCATCGAAGTCTCCCGAGTAAAACAGTACCCCCAATTTACAGGTTTTATGGTGTCTTGGAAAGTTATAGGGTTAAATATAGTGCTAGCAAATTAAATTCCCTATACTTTCGGCATGGGTTGTCAGGCAGGTCCCGCTAATTGTAATTAATTAGGATACCTAATTATGTAAAAATATTACATAAATATATGTGTAGAATTAATATATGTATATATATACATATGTGTATATATACATATATATATATATATAATTTTTTTAAATACTTTTATTTATATATAGGTGTATATATTTAGTGATATATATGTATATATTTATGTATATAGATATATATATTATTTCGTTCTACGTGTATTTTGATATAAATATATATATATTAATATCACAATACAGTTAGAACGAAATAACAAACATCTATATATTTTTTTATTATTTATTTTTAATTATTTTTTTAATTTTATTTTTTTTACGTATTTACATTTTTTATATTATATATAAATATATATATATAACAATAATTATATATATATATATTTAATCAGTATTAGTCTACGTGTAATTTGATAGTAATATATATATAAATAATTATATATATTAATATTTAAATACACTTCGTGTATGTGTAAATGTGTGTGTGTGTGTGTGTATATATATATATATATATATACTTAGATCATATATATATAATATATATGATCTAAGTATATTTTATATTTAACTGTAATTTTTTTTTTACTAATATTTTTTTTTTTTTACAGGACAGGGGGCAGAGACAGTGTCAGCCAGTGATTTTACATCACTGGCTGACACACAGGATCAGTGATCACAGTGACTGCCTGTCACTGTGATCACCTCCTGCAGATTGGGTAATTGGCCACAGGGGGGAGTGCCTGGGTGGTACAAGCACTCCCCCCTTCCAATCTGCAGGGGGATCTGTGTGCCAGTTACATGTGTCAGCCAATAGGCTGACACATGTAACACTGATCGCAGTGACAGGCTGTCACTGCGATCAGAGCGCTCTGAGATCGCAGTGACAGCCTGTCACTGCGATCTCAGAGTTAGCAGATCGCGGTCACTGACCCCAGGGGGACTGCCTGGGGGGCCAGGTAAGTCCCCCGACCGCGATCTGCACGGGGTAGCCGCTGGCCACGTGTGTCAGCCGATTTGAAATCGGCTGACACACGTTAAAAAACTGATCGCAGTGACAGCCTGTCACTGCGATCAGTGACTGCAGATCGCGGTCACCGGCCACAGGGGGGGTTGCCTGGGGGGCCGGGCATCCCCCCCGACCGCGATCTGCAGCGGGCGAATAGCGCCGGCCACATGGGCGGCCATTAAAGTGAGGGCGTACTATTACGCCCGCCGGCGTTTAGAGCCGGCTCCTGCAGGGCGTAATAGTACGCCCTCCGTCCTTAAGGGGTTAAGGGGTTAAAGTTCAATTTAGAGATTGAGATACAATTATTTAAGGTAAATTACATCTGTTTGAAAGTGAAACCAGTTTTTTTTTCATGTAGGCTCTGTCAATCATAGCCAGGGGAGATGTGGCTAGAGCTGCATAAACAGAAACAAAGTGATTTAACTCCTAAATGACAGTGAATTGAGCAGTGAAATTGCAGGGGAATGATCTATACACTAAAACTGCTTTATTTAGCTAAAGTAATTTAGGTGACTATAGTGTTCCTTTAAGAGTTACTATAATTTCACAGGTTTTATAATAATCTGTTTCCTTATTCCCTATATCTGACAGATATGTTTTGGGAGCCCCACCAATTAAATGTAGAAATCCACACCATTTACTGCCTTAACCCTGAAACTAGGCACCTCCTCCTCGGATTCTATGTTATTCTTCGATTTACTTGTTGTCTTTTTCTGCCATTGAACACAGTGGAAGACACGACAAATGTGCAGAAAATTGTTGTGTGTAAGGGAAATTATTTCTCATTTAGCAGACAGGCACATTTTTTGCATATTGTTTATATATAAACCCCCATCTAACGTGGGGGTGGGGGGAGGGGGAAGTTAAACACTGTCTCCATGAAAGACAGTATTCACCGCATGTTTAAGAAATAGGTTCATGAGAGGTATGGCAGCCTCCTATTTCATTGTACTTTTATTAACGTGCTTTATTAAACCGTCACTTCTTGGTAAATTGCATCATTGAATAAAGACCATTAAAAACCACTTATTACCGTGTTTACCTTCTTTTTTATGTGAATCACCTGACTCAGTTAGTAATGCGATATCTCTGATAACGCCACTTGCCCTGAATTCACTGACAAAGTGTTTATAATTAAAAATGGTCAGGTTCAGTTGTATTCTTGGAGCCATAAGTAGACTCCCACCACTGGAAGCCACCTGGCTGTTAGAGATATTAAACTAGCACTGGGATAGGGGATACAGTTGGTTACAAACTATAGATTGAACAAAAGGGAGACGGGAGTTAGCTGAGGCCAGTGCAGTGGTGATTGAGAGGTTATTAGGAAGTATATTATAATACATTAAATAAAGTACCGATACCTGTCTGCATCCTTAAGCAAACAGAGTCTGAAGGAACTCTGCTTTATTCAGTCTGTCAATTTAGGCCTAAATTTCTTTGAAATAATATTAATTTAGGCAATAGTTGATTCAGCACTAAGATAAACAATACAATATGATATAACTGGTATTATGGAAAAACGCTGGGGTGAAATGCATGTCGGGGCAGTTAATTTATCATTTGGATGAACAGATATAGAAGTAAAAGTGAATGGTATGGTTATATGTCAACCCTGGATTAAACGTATATGTGAAGGTCTTGTGGATAAAAATATTATTGGGAGATAAGAGGAGCAATGCCTTTGGAATATGTAACAAACCCACAAATACTGATACTGATTAAAAAGATCAGCTTTTAGCACATTTTTAAAGTGCAGTGGTAATTACACAGGCTAGTAATGACATATAATATATATATTATTATTATTTTATTATTTATATAGCGCCATCAGATTCCGTAGCGCTGTACAATGAACAATGACAAGAGATATGAAATATCAAGATATCCTACACGTTTTTAAATGTATTTTTTGAAAGAAAATACAATGTAAGGCTGACAGATATAGGATTAGGTCTAAAACAGAATGAGATAAACTGTGGATTATGCAGAAACATGAATTAGAAATCGAAAATACTGTTAATTAGTAGAGGGCCTAAACCTGCATTGATAGTACAGAGTGAAGTCCAATATTATAAGAGTAGAAAATATGAGTTGAACCTGCTGAACTGAAATTACTCTCATATGTCGCTAGAAAACGAGTCTCGCTACAAATAAACATGAGAACTGAATTGACTTCTCCAGCAAGAACTGTGACTCAGCACCTCATCCGACACCTTGAACCCACAGCCTCGGAAACTTGCTGAGTCCAAGTCTTTCTTGGTCGGGAGACTGTGCAGGGCCTTGTAGTGTCTTCAGAGAAGTCGTCGTTAGACGTGTCTTGTGGACCTAGGCATGTGTGGGTAGTGCGTTGGGCCAAGCCCTAAGTGGCCCTAGGTAGGCAGAGGTTTTTTGTGGTAACTACTGGTCTGTCCAGAGTGTGCCTCCCCAACTTCTGCCCACCTTCTCCCCATTCTCCCTCAGCAGAGAGGGTATCTGAAGCTGCTGACCTGGAATGACCCTTCAGTTTTTTCCAAAATCTCTCTTAGATAGCATTTAGTGTAGTCAGGGTTTGAGATTGCAAGCCATGCGTGTCGATTTGTGTTGGCGCCAAGCTTCATGTAGCTGGAATTTGTGTAGCAGCCATCTTTTGCAGTTTAACCTTGTATGTATCAACAGTTATATGGAGCAAGCATACTCATGAAGTAGTACTCCGGCATTCGAATTCAGCGGGAATCAGGATAAATCCCACCAGCCCATGGGGGGGGGGGGGAGGCATAGGGCCTTGGCATTGGCCATGTCTCCTGCCCATGCCATACATCAGGCTGCAAGATTTGCCAGCTGGTCAGCACGATCTGCAGGCAAGACAGGAACTGGTGTTTGCAGGTACAGGTGCACAGAGGGCTCCCCACTCAAATCAGCATCAGCTGTTTGCCAAATAGGGTGTCGAATATTAAGTTAGAGGCATTCATTGTTATAAATCTGAGGATCCAATGTAACCTGCATCCATCCAGCTTGACGGTCAGGCCTCACCCCCTGGGGGAGACTTTGATCACTGGAGACCCTGGGACAGAGGCATGGGCGTAGGAACCCCCCAAAATCTGGGGGGGATAGCATTTTTACTCGCCGGGTATATTCTTGTTCCGTAAACTAGGAGTTGTTTATCCCATTGTACGGAATTTGCTGGCGCTATATAAATGATAAAGGGAAGGGGTTTTATTTACCTGGATACAGCGCCGGGATCCTCCTGATGCCGCGCCCCCTATTTCGTCAAAATGACGAAATAGGAGGGTGCGAGCAGGGAGCAATAAAACGCTTCTATTCAGAAGCGTCATTGCTCTCTGGTGCGCATGCGCAGCTTTGCCGTGCATGCGCAGATACTTCATAGGGCAGCATTCATGTCTCGACTAGGAAGCACCTCTAGTGGCCATCTGAGTGTCCACTAGAGGTATTCCTCAGCAGTAATGTAAATACTGCCTTTTTACGAAGACATGCTATAGACACCAGAACTACTACGTTTAGCTGTTGTGGTTCTGGTGACTATAGTGTCCCTTGAATATAGAGGGGTAAAAAGAATCATCACAAATGTAAGAAATAAAATGTCTGTATCATTATTCTAAAAATTATTTTAAAAAAATATGCACATTCCTAGCTTAATTTTTAGCACGACATATGACACAAACATTTTGTACTTTGCAGATTACTTTTTATATTTTTTTATACATATACAGATTGTGTAATACTGCCCCTGACTTAGGGTGACCACATTTCCTAACTGCCATTCAGTAACACTTTCAGAAATGCATTCCATACATTTTACTACCTGTCTCTACCCCTTCCATTTATATTAGAACCCCACCTACCCCTTCCATGAATATTAGAACCACCCCTACCCCTCCTATAAATATTAGAACCACCCCTACCCCTTCCATGCACATAAGAACCCCACATACCCCTTCCATGCATATTAACCCCCCCACCCCTTCCATGCATATTAGTAGCCCCCTAACCCCTTCCATTCATATTAGTACTCGCCTAACCCCTTCCAATTATTTTTCTACCTCCCCCCTCCTCCCATCCATATTAATAGCCCCCCTAAACCCTTCCAATTATTTTTCTACCTACCCCTCTCCTCCTATCCTTATTAGTAGCCCCCCTAACCCTTTCCATTTATTTTTCTACCTAACCCTCTCCCCCTTCCAATTATTTTTCTATCTACCCATCCCCATCCATATTAGTAGCCCCCCTAAACCCTTCCAATTATTTTTCTACCTACCCCACCCCCTATCCATATTAGTAGCCCCCCTAAACCCTTCCAATTATTTTTCTACCTACCCCTCTCCCCTATCCTTATTAGTAGCCCCCCTTACCCTTTACAATTATTTTTCTACCTACCCCTCCCCCATCCATATTAGTAGCCCCCCTAAACCCTTCCAATTATTTTTCTACATTTGTCCCCCCTTTTACCTGACATAGCAGCTGGACGTCCGGCGGGCGCAGTGTCAGACTGAGCGCCGGGTAGTCACGTGACACCCGGCACTCCTGCGCGGAGGGAGAGGTGCTCCCCTTCCCAGTCTGCAGTGCGTGCGGTTCCCTGATGGAGCCGCACGCAGCCCGAGGGCACCCTCGGCCGGCGGGGCTGGGGGGATTTCTCCATAACCTGTCCCCCCCGCAGGATTTGCTGGGGGGGATGAGTCCCCTCCATCACCCCCCCGGTTCCTACGCCCATGGACAGAGGGCAAAGTAGAAATATTGTAAGTAGAAATTATTGAGCCTGTTAAGTGAGACCTTCATGTCTCATTCAAAGCTCCAATTAGAGTAAATAGGCACCTATGCAACAATGCGAAATGTCAAATTTGGGTTGCTGAGGGTAGTATGGTATGCATAAAAAGGGTTATTCATTGACTGGACAAAAACATCTTGCCCTTTTTAAATGAATATTAAGGCCCTTCCTTGATTACGCAGAGCAAGTTTGGACACCTGTTTTCAAGAAGGATGTTTCAGAACTAAAAATAGTGCAAATGCGGGCTAGAAAATGAATCAAGAAAATTAAATAATTTAGTTGTGAAGAAAAGCTAAAACCCGTGTTTACTTTAGCAGCTCAGAGGGAATATTCTAACAATGTACAAATATGGAAAGGGCCAGTAATATCATCTCTCTGCTAATCTGTTCAATAATAGGACGGAACAAAGAAAAGATATGAAATTCTCTGCATTAGAAGTTTGGTTGTCTGTAAAGATTTAAACCTCTGGGTGTTTTTTTGCTAAAATATTGTAACAAGGGGTTATCCCGGTTCCCACTGCAGGGTGCCGACATCACGCTGAACGACCCCACCAAGATTGCCCAGCAGTCGGATTCCCGCTCCTGAAACGCAAAATGGCGGCCTCGCAGCCCATCCTGCGTACAGCATAGAAGGCGGCTGTCAAGAGGGGCCACAGGCTGAGGCGACTGCAGACCATGGCCCCCACCCCTGGAAGCCGGCCATACCAGCAAACTGCAACACAACCTTTGGCTCCAGTAAGTCCCACAAGCTCACCCGGTTCTCACAACTACCTTCCTGGGCTATGAGCCCTCAGACGACAATCCTTGAACCACGGCCCTACTCCCGGACATAACACCTTGCCGGGCCTACGCTGCTGACCTAAGGTTGTAGGCTGAAGTAAGGCCTGGGGCAGGCGGTGTAGACTTACCATCATTTCAGGACTCGGCTGGGACAACACTTCGGCTGGAGGTGGGAACTGACCGGGTCACGAGGAAGCAGCAGGCTTGCATGCTAGCAATAACCGGCGGTCTGGTGGAACTGAGCCCGGGGGTGGTGTGGATTCCCCTAAGAGCCTCCAGTGGTCCACACAGCATTGATTCCCCCTTGTTACTTAATCTTTTTTTAAAAAATCTTTTTATTTATCTCCTATTTGGCTTATCAACTACAAGTCACTGCGTAATGTCTTGATGGGCATGTTTAACGCAATAGCACTATATCTCTCCAGCATGTCTGCTTTACTTACCTATAAGCCTGTTCTAGTATCTTATAAGGCAGTCACAGTTACTGCTTTACCTGCCTATTTGCCAGTTCTATTACTTTCACAACCTGTTACAATAATGTATTGTCAGTTAGTGCCCCTTGTCTTATTCATGGCTGCTGACATGCCTATTGTTTTAACTCTTCTCTGACTAGCCTGACTTTTCGCCTGATTACTACTAACACATAACATGAAGCAGTCACTCATGAGAGAATGTAATGATGTTATTATTTACGGTATATGTGTCCATTTTTGCTAATTATTTATCTCTTTTTCTTCCTTTCTGTAAAGTGCTCACATTGCTTCAATAAAACAAAGATTGACAAAAATAAAATATATTGTAACAGGATAATCAAGGAAATCATAGTTAATATGTGGGATGACAGCTTGCAGGTCCAAGTGTAAATCTGATGCTATTTTTGGGTTAAGTAGCATTTTTTCAAAATCTCTGGTACAATTGGAAATAATTTTTCCCTCTTTGTTGCATCAACAGCATTTATTCACATATATGAAAAGCTGGGCCTGAGAGGCTGGAGTCTCTTAACAGCCTAGAGTAGAATATTATGTAACTATGTCATATCTATCTATGTCTCTCTCTGTCTCTACTTCTCACAGTCTCTGTCTGTTCATCTAATCTATCTATCTGTCTGTCTATTTATCTGTCTATACAGTATCTATCTATCTATCTATCTATCTATCTATCAGTCATTCCTCTGTCTGTCTGTCTGTCCATCTATCTATCTATTTGTCTATCTATCTATCTATCTATCTATCATTCCTCTGTCTGTCTGTCCATCTTTCTATTTATTTATCTATCTATCTATCTATCTATCTATCTATCTATCTATTTATCATTCCCCTCTCTCTCTCTATCATTCCTCTGTCTGTCTGTCTGTCTGTCCATCTATCTATCTGTCTGTCTGTCTGTCTGTCTGTCTATCTATCTATCTATCTATCTATCTATCTATCTATCTATCTATCATTCCCCTGTCTGTCTGTCCATCTATCTATTTATTTGTCTATCTATCATTCCTCTCTCTCTCTCTCTCTCTCTCTATCTATCATTCCTCTATCTGTCTGTCTGTCTGTCTGTCTGTCTATCTCTAAGATAAAATGAGCAGGTTCAGTTCTATTATCCTTCCTCTCCCATCCATCCCTCCTCTTTCTCTGTCTTTCTGTGTCTGTGTGTCTCTCCATCTCCCTCCCACCTGGCTGTGTGTGCTGGGAGTTACAGAGAAGCAGAGAGGATGCTGTATGTGGAAAGCCCCCCTCTCCCTCCATCCAGTTATTTGCAGCTAGAAATCTCCTCCTTCACTGCAAATATCTGATATTTCTCCCTTACAGGAGGAGGAGAGCTCTGCTCCATTCACCTTACAAGAAAGCAGGAAACGGAATTCTGTCCCCTGTCTCTCCTCCTGTCATTTCTCTGGAACTCGCGCCCCCCCACCCCGCTCCCCCATTCCAGACACAATACAAATAGGAGAAGTCACATCATCTGCAATCAGCATCCCCAGCTTGAGCCTGAGCAGGAGACTGGGAGCTGCAGGCACATCATTCAAGGTATTGCCCTGGCTGGCATTGGGTGTCTGTGTGTGTGTGTGTCTGTGTGTGTGTCTGTGTCAGCCATTCACAATGTAACAATCTGACAGTCTGCATTGGGAGCTCACACATCATTCAAGGTATTGTCCTGGCTGGTATTGGGTGTGTGTGTCTGTGTGTGTCAGTGTCAGCCATTCACAATGTAACAATGTGACAGTCTGCATGAGGAGCTGACACATCATTCAAGGTATTGTCCTGCCTGCTATTGTGTGTGTGTGTCAGTGTCAGCCATTCACAATGTAACAATGTGACAGTCTGCATTGGAGCTCACACATCATTCAAGGTATTGTCCTGGCTGGTATTGTGTGTGTGTGTCTGTGTGTGTGTGTCAGTGTCAGCCATTCACAATGTAACAATGTGACAGTCTGCATGAGGAGCTGACACATCATTCAAGGTATTGTCCTGGCTGGTATTGTGTGTGTGTGTGTCTGTGTGTGTGTGTGTCAGTGTCAGCCATTCACAATGTAACAATGTGACAGTCTGCATGAGGAGCTGACACATCATTCAAGGTATTGTCCTGGCTGGTATTGGGTGTCTGTGTGTGTGTGTGTGTGTGTGTGTGTGTGTGTGTGTGTCAGTGTCAGCCATTCACAATGTAACAATGTGACAGTCTGCATGAGGAGCTGACACATCATTCAAGGTATTGTCCTGCCTGGTATTGTGTGTCTCTGTGTGTGTATGAGTGTGTCAGCCATAAACAATGTACAATGTGACAGTTTACACTGGGAGCTGCAGGCACCTCCTTTGAGGTATTGTCCTGCCTGGTATTGTGTGTCTGTGTGTGTATGAGTGTGTCAGCCATAAACAATGTACAATGTGACAGTCTGCACTGGGAGCTGCAGGCACCTCATTGGAGGTATTGTCCTGCCTGGTATTGTGTGTCTGTGTGTCTCTGTTTGTGTGTGTGTGTGTGTGTCAGCCAGAAACAATGTACAATGTGACAGTCTGCACTGGGAGCTGCAGGCACCTCAGTGGAGGTATTGTCCTGCCTGGTATTGTGTGTCTGTGTTTCTCTGTTTGTGTGTGTGTGTGTGTGTGTGTGTCAGCCAGAAACAATGTACAATGTGACAGTCTGCACTGGGAGCTGACATCTTGTGATGACTGAGAGCATATAGAGGGAGGCTGCCTTGTATTGCTGGGAGTTACATACATTGCTGGGAGATATTAAATGGCATGCATAGATATGGCTGTGATTTGTGTGCAATCTCTTTATTCAAATAATATTTACGTTTTCATTATAATTAAACAATATAACAATTTATAATAATTCTATGTATATCTATCACATGTATTTATTCATGGGTAAATGTGTGCCCTTTGTTTAGATAATCTATTTTTATTTTTAATGTTGATGTGTCCATATTTTATCAGATGTTTTATTTTCATGTGTGCGAATAGTTATGCGGTGATAATAATAATAATAATAAGGTTTGTTTATTCTGTATATATGACTTGCCTTCTCATGTCAGAACAAAGCAGCTGTTCAGAGCAAACACTTTCTCAACATAAAGTGTGGTCATTTTCTGTAATTAAAGCCCCTCAGCGCTTTGATCTGATTTGGAGATATATTTTTTTTTCTGTGTTTCTGGGACAGACATTGAGAAAAGGGGGCATTGCCGCGATGAACCTGAACCCCCTTTTTACCCCCATATCATGTTAAAACAAGAATGAAACATTGTACCCCTTCCCCGCCTGGCTGTTGGGGAGGATATTAGCACAATGGGCAGATAGATCTGTTCCCTTGTGGCAGAGATCTCCTTTTGCTATGTTTATGGAGAGAGCACAGGGATGCAATGTTATACCCCAGTCACCTGTCAGGAGGGATAAAGGGGCCCAGGGGGAACACAGAAAGGGCCCTCCGGGTAGGAGAAATGTATGGAAAGTATTTCTGCCATGTAGCCTGATTTTGGAGTTCTCAGGCTGGTGTGGTGTGCCAGCAATAGGCCCAAGAATTAATCCTTATTTACATCACTCTAACTCTTAGGTCATTTTTTTCAATGTCTGTCCATTATTCTGATCCTCTCTGTTGCCTCCTTATTCTTATAAGGTCCTCGTGTTGGCAGTATTCCATTTCTGTCTCCCCATTTATTAACATCTATCCAATTTGCAATCCCCCCCTCGACCATAAATACGTATATCTCAAATACTACACATACATATGTACACACCTCACACAGCTCCTACATACAGCAGGCATAAATATCTCACTCAAATTAAACATCTATCAGGGTCCTATACATTGCTGTAATTTCATCTGGCAACCACAGCTAGTTTCAGGGGTACACACAGTCAGATGCCAGGGTAATAGACAGCAAATTACGAACTTCTAGTTAGGCCGAGATTGTCACTGCGTCTTACTCTCCACATAAATTCACACATCTCACAAACACAGTTCCCAGAATCTCACACATATAGCATACACCCAAAACACATCACAAGCATACACAAAACACACATCATATGCATACAGCATACGTACAACTGACATCACACACATACAGAAAACACACATCACACACCACACACATACAGCATGCACACAACATACCTCACACACATACAGCATACACACAACCGACATCACATACAGCATACAAACAACACACCATGCACACATACAGCATACACACAACACACCTCACACACATGCAGCATACACACAACCCACATCACATACAGCATACACACAACATACCTCACACATATACACCATACACACAACCAACATCACATACAGCATACACACCTCACACACATACAGCATACACACAACATACCTCACACAAATACAGAATACACACAACACAGCTCACACACACATATAGCATACACACAACATACCTCACACACATACACCACACACACAATCCACATCACATACAGCAAACACACCACACACCTCACACACACACACACACACACAACGTACCCCACACACATACAGCATACACACAACACACCTAACACAAAAAACACATACAGCATTCACACAACACACATCACACAAACACAACATACATGGAAAAGACATCACCTCATGTAGCTTGCACACAAAACACATCACAGACATGCAGCATACACACAGTTTTATAGTAATATATAGCTTCTGAAGTCTAGGTGAACATTAGTTTTATCCAGCTGGGACAGATAATTATTAGACTGTAAACCCTATAGAATGTAAGCTCATTTGTTCAGAACCTTGTTCACCTATTGTTCCAGAATGTCAATCATGTTTTCTCAGAATTAAATGTTTGTCTTGTTTACCTACTGTACAGCGCTGCATAATATGCTGGCGCTATATTATTAATTGTAATTAGATGTGTGTCTGAATCTGCTCAGCTCTAGACAGGATTCACAGGATTTCTGGGTAAGTTTACAATATTACACATCTCTTAGGTAACAAGTAGATATAAGAACAATATAGTAAAACTGTAGAACTCATTGTTATGAATATATATATAAAAAAAAGATTTGTAATTGACAGCTTAACGAGCATTTGTTCCCCACCCCCGGTAAGGATCAATATACCAAAGGTACTTATAACTATTAGCTTTAGAGCCTGTCTTACACATTCGCAACATATGTTATAGCAGATGGGATAAGGGAATGCTGAAAATGCAATAAAAAAAAATAAAAAAAATACATATACATAAATGATAAACATATATCTATATATACATAGACACACTTGATTATAATGTATAAAATCCATTTTATACATCTTTGATCAATGTAAAATAAATAATTGATCAAGCCTCGCTGATTTTATGGCCCTTTGTGTATTTGGAGCAGAAGCCATGCTCTAGGGCAGACGGAAGGGGAGATTCCGTGGGTCTCTGAGGAATACGGAGGTGGCAGATTGTTCTGCTCTAATTATCATTTAGGATATAATTTGGTAAAATAATCCGTCAAGCACAAGTGGGGATTGTGGGTAAAAGCATTATCATAAATAAACTAGCGATTACAGTGAAAACGATATACTTTCGTTCCAATAACATTTATGTGCAACAAACTACCTACAGATATATCATTGGGGGAATATCAGATAAAGTTTTATTTTTAATGTGTATATTTTGGGGTTAAATTAATCATTATCATTATTTGATAATAGATAGACAGACATGATATACATAACAGATACATAATAGGATACATCATAATTGTACAGCGCTATGGAATTTGCTGGCGCTAAATTAATAATAAATTAATAATAATGTTAATATATAATGAATGAACTTATTAATGAAAGAATGAATGCAAATTTATATTGTTATTATTGTATCTTTCCAGGAAGCCATAAAAAAAAGCATTACATTGAAAGCACACATTTTATTTACAAAAAGTATGGATCACATGTTGGGCAGCCTAATCCGCAGCTGGCACCTTTAAAAAAAATATATAGTTCAAAGCTCGATTTCAAACAGCACTGCCCTAAATTCTGAATTTTCCGTAGATCTTCATAAAGTAAATGGGAAACTCAATGTATAAACTTAGCATAATATTCTCATTAAGTAAGTAATAATTAAATACAGTAGATTTTCACAAATTTTATTTAATAATAGTATTGTTAAATCAGTTTTGAAAATGAAGGCAAAATGATATTGTGCTGTACCGGGTCGTACACATGCCCTTTCCCCTTATTATTCCTTCTCTTCCTTTTTAAAAATAAACATTTCAATGCAGAACACACCATCCAATTTGAGAAAGCGTGTTTGAGAAAATGTTTTGATAAATTACAAGAATTTAAAAAAAAAAACACAAAAAGCTGTTTATTCACAAGAAGATAATGAACAAAAACATAACCATATAGATTAAGTATATACAATATTAAAAAAACCACAAAATCAGAGACAAAACTGCATATAACTAAATAGCTCAAAAAGAAAGGGGAGGTGAGTGAGCAAAACTCAAAATTCAAAACGTACTTTTTAATAAACTTTTTATTTTATTTTAAATGGAACCAGTCAGTTTATTATTATTATAATTATTAAACCCGATCTAACTCCAACTTACAATCTATCAGTCCTTTTCACCATTGGCGTTTTTGGTGTACCACATTTACAGAAAACCATTATTTAATTCACTCATCTCACTAGGTTTGCATTGGGTAGATGGTTTTCCTACATTTTACCATAATCAGTTTATTTAGAATATATTAGCATTCAAAACTAGTTATGGTTGGTAATAATCAGATTGGTGTTCTCTTTTCAATGTAGGATGCACCAGCCTTTCAAAGAAGAATTCAGCTATGGATCAAGCTACCTCGAGAACTCCATCCAAGAGCACAGAGGAGACAAGCTACAGATAAGGATGTTCTGTGGGTCATGCGATTCAGATTCAGATATGCTACAGAACTTAAATATTTATAGAAAAAGTGGAGTGTTTACAGATGTTATTCTTCATATTGATGGACATGACTTTCCCTGTCACAGGGTCATCCTGTCAGCCAACAGCTCCTATTTCAGAGCCATGTTTGGTGGCAGTCACAAAGAGAGCAGTCTAAATGTTGTGCCTGTCCAGAAGATCTCAGCTTCTATCATGAGTCTTCTCTTGGACTACATGTATGGTGGGAGCCTTACAATAGAAGAAGACAATGTGGAGGGAATCTTGCAAGCTTCAGACATGCTACACATCTACAGATTAAGAGACGCTTGTGTAAAATTTCTAGAGAACCAACTACATCCTTGTAACTGTGTTGGTATCATGAAGTTTGCAGACTCATTTTCCATTGCTTCATTGTCCGAGAAAAGCAAGAAGCTCATGTTAGAAGGTTTCTCAGAGGTGTCTTGCCACGAGGAGTTCTTGGAGTTAAATCAAGAGGAGCTTATTGAGTATTTGACTAACGAGCAGTTGGTGGTGACTAAAGAGGAAGTTGTGTTTGAAGCAGTCATGCGATGGGTTAATAGGAACAGAAGTGGAAGAAAAAAGGCCTTGAAAAGTCTATTAGAACATGTGAAATTACCTTTGCTGAATCCAGTTTATTTTATGGAGAAAGTTGAAACAGACAAGACAATCCAAGAATCTGTAGATTGTTTCCCATTACTGTACGAGGCTCGAATGCACTATATTCTAGGGAATGTAGTAAATTCACCCAGAACGAGGCCAAGAAGGTAATACAAATTATTTTAAAATGAATAATTTAAGATTTCCAGATTTTAGTTGATAATTCAATTGGGGTTTCACCAAAATCAGGAACCTGGAACATTTTTGTAACATCTGACAGTTTCAAAGTTACTTTTATTCAAAATATCAAAAAACAGCTGTTTCAAAAATGAACTCTCTTGATCTCTACCAGAGTCAAACATTTTGAACAGAGATGAGCGCAGACATTATAGTTACAGATTTCCCACCAAACTAATGTAAAACACCTGGGTTTTTATGAGTTTTGCAACCATGCAGGTTGTAAACTCCAAAAGCCCTTCCGAGTTAATCTTCTGGGACAGAGATAGAACATGTATTATATATATTATCAAAAACAGGAAGGTGTACAATACACCAACCAGAGAAGTGGAGCGTGTAAGGTGTACTATAGGATACACCTACCCTTTCTTGGGACATAGGGATTAAGCTGTAAAATGGAGAAAAAAAAAGGGACTAATAGTGTAATAACGTCTGGAGTATAAGTGGACTGTAGGTGTCCAATGGTCCAACTCACATGGGAATGAGCCTTCCAGGACAGGCTCAGATCGTACAGGCAGAAGTGTACTAGGTGACACAATCCCCTCTTCTGTCTGCTCAAATATGGTATATGAAATGAAAAAGAAGTGAGGAAACCAGTAGACTTCTGGTGTAGTATGTAAGGTATGATAAAACAGATACACAATAAAAAGATCTTGCTCACCTTTTCCAGAGCCCTTTTTGAATGCTCTCACCTGTGGGGTGTAATCATAGACGTGAGCAGCCTATTGCATTAGGGTGTGCACCCTAAAGCACAAACACACACGCTGCGTGTATATGTATGTGTATATATATATTTATACACACACATATACATACATACACTGCTGTGTGTGTGAGGGTGCCGTTATTGTGCTGTGTGTGTGAGGGTGCCGTTATTGTGCTGTGTGAGGGTGTGTGTGTGTGAGAGCACTGGTAGTGTGCTGTGAGAGTGCTGTGTGTGTGAGAGAGTGTTGTGTGTATGTGTCTGAGGGTGCTGTGTGTGTGTGTGAGGGTGATGTGTGTGTGTGAGGGTGATGTGTGTGTGTGAGGGTGATGTGTATGTAAGGGTGCTGTTAGTGTGCTGTGTGTGTGTGAGAGAGAGAGGATGCTGTGTGTGTGCTGTTAGTGTGCTGTGTGTGTGAGGGTGCTGTGCATGTGTGTGTGTGTGTGTGTGAGGGTGTTGTGTGTATGAATTTGTTTAGAGTGATTGTGTGTGTGGGGGACAGATTAGGAAAGGTAAGAAAGATCCCCCCCTCCAGTCTTACCTTTTCCCTGGGAGGGGGGATCCTTGCTGCCAGCTCTAATCCCTGGTGGTCTTAGTGGTGAGAGTGAACTGCAGGGCTAGAGTTCATTCCCGTGAGATCTGAGCGTTGCAGCGACAACACTCTGACCTCATGAGAGGAACCCGGCGTAGCTGCTGGCTAGAGCTCGACGGGTCCTCTCCTGCCTCTTTGATCTCCCCACCGCCCATGGAGGCACACAGCAGGGCGAACGCTGGCTTTGCATGGACCGACAGGGATGATCCTGTGATCCGGCCTCGATCCATGCGCAGGTCGCTGGGTTTAGGGTGTGCCAGGGCACACCCCGTGCACTTGCCCATGGGTGTAATAGGGAGATATCCACCTGAGTGTATTTTTATAACTGTACCTAAGTGCCTATATATTCACAGAGCACTTTGTGTTTTTTCTGGATTATTATATATATTATGCCAATTTTGTGGCCATATTTATGCAGTCCTTCTGGTTGGGTAAGCAACGCTGTGCTTTATGTATAAATATGTTAATTGATATTTAATTCCTCTTTGCCCTAGTGCAATCTTTTCATTAAAAATATCACTGAATGTCTGAATTCAATTAGAATTACCTCTCGAAGCGACTACAAGGATTTTACCTGCCACAGGCAAACATCTCTCAACCTCCTCTCCTTTCATTCCATCTTTTTGGCCTTTCTAGATTCTCATGATGCCAACCTTTTCCTTCATTCTTCAAGTCCTGCTTTTTGTGATTTTCTGCACTCTGAACATTTTGTTTCTTGCTAATTCTCTGCCAATGTGGGGATTGTGCATGCATGTGTTTTGAAAGTTGTGTTTGGAAGCCGCTGCTTTTAGTGTAGTGTGTATAGGGAGGTTGTGTGTGTATGTAGATGATGTTTGCCTGTGTATGTTGGAAATACTGTGTGTGTATACATGTGTACATGGGAAAAGCTGTGTGTATGTGTGTGTCAGAGAGACTGTTTGTTAGACAGAGGCTGTGTGTCCATATGTGTATGTTGTATGTATGGGAAAACTATGTGTGTTGTAGAAAAGGTAGTGTGTTTATCCTTCGGAGAAGCATTGTGTATGTAAGTGGAGTGGCTATGTGTGTGTGTCAATAAAAGAGAGGTTGTGCCCGTAGGGAGAAGCTGTGCGTATATATGAGAGAGACTGTGTGTGTATGAGAAAGAGGCTGTGTGTGTGTGTGTGTCTGTATGCGAGAGAGGCTGTGCATATGTGTGTGTGTAAGAGAGGCTGTGTATGTGTGGAGAGGCTGTGTGTGTGTGTTTGTGTGTATAAGAGAGAAGGGCTGTGTGTGTCAATAAGAGAGAGTCTGTGTACGTAGGGAGAAGCTGTGTGTATATATGAGAGAGACTGTCTGTATAAGAGATAGAGGCTGTGTATATGTGGAGAGGCTGTGTGTGTGTGTGTGTGTGTGTATGAGAAAGAGCTTGTGTGTGTGTACATGGCTGACTGATAGACGGAGCAGAGTTGTGACATTGCGTGACATCATGTCATATTTCTGCATTTTGTATCAATCAGGCACACTCATGTAAAGTTTGTAAATCTGGTAAATTCACCAGATCAAGACACGGGACCATCGGAAATGATAGGCAGCCTGTGAACCATGTCACATGACACAAGGGCTGCCTAGAAATAGATATAGTAACATGCGCTCCCAGCTCCTGGGGATGTAAATCACAGAGGGATTATTGGGGGGATGTGGAAAGATAAATGAGGGGAGGCAGTATAATTGGCGCGGGATGTGGAGGAGTGTGATGGCTTTGTGTAGGCCAGTAGATGGGGATAGAGTATACAACAGAATTTGTACATGCACAACATCTTACACAAACAGATAAATATACACACACACACACACACACACACACACAAACATACATTTGCATAGACATTGCACACTATACACTAAAGTATAAATTGTCAACAATTCAAAATAAATTCAAAGTAAATTTAAAAATGGAGAACAAAATATCCAAAGTGCCAATTAAAAATGACACGTCAGCTATGTTTGGATATGTCGCCCGAGATTTGAAAATGTGTTTGAATCGTAGAAGGAGGGTTGTATTATGACAATAAATGATGAAACATAAATAATGAGGTAAAACGAGGCAGATACAGGACAAACCTGGGAAAGGAAGTATTAATTATGCCAGAGTTTCAAACTGTTTGTATAAAGTTTAGTTATTAAAAATCAGCAGGGTTTATTACTAAACAACAAACAGCAGGGAACTGAAATTCAGACTAATATAACCGAGCTGTGACGGAAGTTGGAGAGTTTTATTTGGCTAGATGCTACGATTTATTTTTCAGTTCACCCCAACTATTAATCTATTAATAAAAATAAATAAATAAACCTATTAGTCTTTAATAATCTGTTTCAATTCAAGTCAGTCGTTCTCAGTCTTTTTGAGTCTGTCTCTCACTGAGAAATCTGGCGTGTGTGTATGCATGTGTGTGTGTTTGTGCATGTGTGTGTATGTGTTTGTGCATGTGTGTGTGTTTGTGCATGTGTGTGCGCATGTGTGTGTGTGCGCATGTGTGTGTGAGTGTGTTTGTGCATGTGTGTGTTTGTGCATGTGTGTGTGTGCGCATGTGTGTGTGTGTGTCTTTGTGCATGTGTGTGTGTGCGCATGTGTGTGTTTGTGCATGTGTGTGTGTGCGCATGTGTGTGTGCGCATGTGTGTTTGTATGTGTTTGTGCATGTGTGTGTTTGTGCATGTGTGTGTTTGTGCGTGTGTGTGTGTGCGCATGTGTGTGTGTGTGTTTGTGCATGTGTGTGTGTTTGTGCATGTGTGTGTGCGCATGTGTGTGTGTGTATGTTTGTGCATGTGTGTGCGCATATGTGTGTATGTTTGTGCATGTGATGTGTGTGTGTGCATGTATGTGTGTGTTAAACTCAGTGTCCGTTTCAGACTGTGTAAAGTATCTGGCCTTGTAGGGGTTGTTAATTGAAGTCAGAACTGTAGCCAATTGAAATTTTAATGGTGAAATTCAGGCAGAAATTACCAGAGCCGTGACCTGGTTTCAGAAGTTGCCTGTAAAACTTGTATGGGATTAAGTGAAGAGATTTACACAAGGTAAAAGGGGACTCCACGAGCAAACTTGGCTGGGTGCTTCCAATGCCAAGGGTAAGCTTGTATTCCTGTCTGCAATGCCGACTTCTTCCTAAAGACTGACAGGGCTATTCTCTAGAGAGAGAATTCTAAGTGAATTTCACATTAGAAGCCAAAGTAACTGGCCTTAAAACAGCTGACAGAGGATTGTTCCATTCCGCTATTTTGACCTTAAATGTGAAATTCTGCAGTACAGGGCTAGTTCACTGGCTGAGAGCCTCAGATGGTCCTTGTCAGTCAATGAACCCTGCACTGCCCAGGGATTCCTGACACCATAACTACTACTTACTTTCTTAATTATGGTACTTCAAGTGTTCCTTTTAAATAAAATATCAAGTAATTCATTTTTATGCTTTCAATACTACAATACAATAGTAGAATTTTTTTTTTCATTTTGGGGACTCCACCCTATGCAGCACCTCCAAACATTTTTTGCTTTTTAAACAACAGATATTTTTTTGTGTTGAAATAAATCAATTATATTATTATATGTTCTTTCAGGTCCACTGACATTTCAGAGGCAATAGTGATCATTGGTGGCTGTGATAAAAAGGGCCTCTTAAAATTGCCATACACCGAGAGCTACCATCCCAATAGTCGACAGTGGACATCTCTGCCCAGTTTGCCTGGATACACCAAATCGGAGTTTGCTGCTTGTGTCTTGAAGAATAATATTTATATTTCAGGTAAGAAAGTAAAATAGCTTCTGCAGCCTTAAATGTGCCTATTTCAAACAGCTGGACTTGGTATGGAACGTACAAACTTTGACACGTAGGACTCAGAGAATATTTTCAAAACTAGACCTGTCCCAAATAGAGACTAAAATGAATGCTTAGCAAATGTTCTTCTCTTAGTAATATTTTGTTAAGGATATAATTTGTGTGTTTCAATCGGAAAACTCACTAATCTTAAAACAAGTCCATCTTAGTATAACCCGTCCGCTATGTGTCAGAGTTCTTTACCCATTGTATCTTACTGGTATCAGTTTTCAGTGAAATGTAATCTAACGTAAGCAGTGTAACTATGTGTTAATTGTACAGTTTCCTGATTAGCTCGAAAATAGTTAAAGAGTTCCTTTAAAAAAAAAATTGTGTTTGTGTGTCAGAGTTTTGTAAATAGTGTTGATTGACGTCAGGAAATGTCATCATCTGAAAAGTGATGCAAAGTTCTAAAATTGGAGCAACCATCGTGGAATCTAATGAATGAGCAGGGATAATCCAAAGGTGACTGCTCCACTTTTACAATTTGTCACCATTTTTTGGATCCAAACACTTTGATAAATCTCCCCATTTTTGTGTCTGTTTAACCAAGTGCTTTCTTCGAGATGCAATCTTGTGTAACTCTTATTGTTTTTCCAGGTGGTCATATTAACAGCGATGAAGTGTGGTTATTAAACACACAGCTAAGTGTGTGGGTCAAGGTTGCCCCTTTGAACAAAGGTCGATGGAGACACAAAATGGTCACTCTGAAAGGAGAAGTAAGTAGCACTAATAAGACCACTAAAAAGGTTTAGAAGGGAACCGTTGAAAAGCCTCAATTTAATATTGTAGGATAAGCCTCCCAAATGATTGAATATTTTTGTATAAAATGTTTAAATGATTTAATATTATGAAACATTATGTATTGCTATTTTTGTAAATATGCTATATCAGTGGTTCCCCAAAAATACCTTAGACACGACTAGGTAATCCCTAAATCCTGGACTGGTTGTGGTACCCTGAGGTCTGGTTTGGGAACCAATCTGGTATATGTTTTAAAATTTCAATATGTTGAAAAAAAAATTTGAAAAGTTTTGCCAAAAGTTTTGTGGCTATAACATCTGAGCCAGTCCTGACCATCTCATTATTTTCAATGTAAATGCTATACTAAGTGTGAGCAGCAGTTACATTTAGTAAAACACATGAATAAAAATAATTCCGATGAAAAATATCTGCTTACCATTTAGCCCCATTCATGCGTTTGTATGAATGAATCTAGAAGTGGCCATGACACAGGCCACCTCAAAGAAATCAGAACTAATAACTCTTGTAATATGAGTGAGGGTCAGGCGGCATTTAGTTCTAGACAGCCCAACCGGGTGCCATCAGTTTGATAGTCAAATGGTGTAGATTGCCTCTGTGATGGCACATTTTGTTTAGTGGGAGCTAACCAGGACAAGATTTTAAAATTTTGGCCATTCCTATATTCTGTTTTATCTAAATAATTATGGAGTTATTCGATCTATGGTTCTAGCATGCTTGTGCCACTTGTATCTCAATTATTTAAGCGATTTTATCAAGCTTGCTCGTCAGTGACAATCGTACAAGGGTCTCAATGAACAGAGAATTCCTATCTCTCTTGGTTCTCAAAGTTTGTCCCTATTTCTCTTGTTTATCGATGCCTATCATTGTACCAGAGTTTTTAGAATTTCTTCAAAATTGTTTATATGAGAAAATGTGAATGTGTGTACATATTGCACCGTTTATCCACTATTACAAATACGGTTCCACGTAATATAATTTCACCAGTGTTATGCATGTTGTGCAGATTTATGCCGTGGGTGGATTTGATGGAACTCAGCGGTTGTCCACAGTGGAACGTTACAATTCCTTTAATAACAGTTGGACGATGGTCAGTCCTCTCTCGGAGGCAGTCAGCTCAGCAGCAGTCGTATCCTGTTTGAACAAATTGTATGTGATAAGCGGCGCTGTCGATGATTCTGCCAACACAAACAAGGTACTAAATGACACTGGAACTTGGTCACCCAGATGTTTGCCTGATGCTCCTCAAAGCTTTTACTGGGAAAACAAGAATTTATTACGTTTCCATTTACTAGAAAACATATGCCCTTTTATAAGATAGTTGCGTAACGCATTCTAGTAATGTATTGTAAATATTTTGTAAAAAGTAACCATATTATTACGTTTGCTGTTGTGATCTTTATAAAGGCTGATTGGTTAATTGTTACTTTTGCAATATGCTATGAATTAAAATTAGTTTAGTTTAATGAAGCAATTGATGTGTATAGATAATGCCTCTGAAGTCTCACTGCTCAATTCTCTGCCATTTAAGAGTTAAATCACTTTTTTTTTCTGTTTAGGCAGCCCTAGCCACACCTCCCCTGGCTGTGACTGACACAGTTTGCATTAAAAAAAAAATGGTTTCACTTTCAATCAGACATAACTTACTTTAAAAGTTTTTATCTCCTGCTCTGGAAATTGAACTTTAATTACATACAGGAGCTATTAACAGAGCAGGAGATAAGAAATTCTAAATTAAACAGAATTTGCAATAATGGATGTGTAGACAGTAGATGATTCTTTACAGGAAGTGTTTAGGAAGGTTGTGTAAGTCACATGCAGGGAGGTGTGACTCGGGTTGCATAAACAAAGTGATCCATAATAGGTTCACAGTATAATAAAAGTAGTGGGCACAGTAGGTACATTATAGTATTATATCGAAGTGAAGCAGTGATACACCCTTCATAACTAATATAGGACTCTCCAAAAGGGGAAAAAGGAGGGAGTTAGATATGTATTCTCTAAGTGGAGAACACATTAACATACCAGTGTATAGTACACTTCTATTTTTTCTCAAGTAGATATACATTATAATATAAATAAATATATTTGATATAAAACTGTACCATTGACCTACATTGTCCCTGGATTCTAAAAAACAAAGGCCTCGGTTTAATATTGTTGGATAAGCTCTCCAAATTATGTAATATTTTGGGATAAACTTCTCAAATTATGTTTTCAATATATTAACATTTGAAAAAGATATATAAAAAATATGTTAATATTTCAAAAAATATCAAAATATCACAACATTTTAAAGTTTTTCATAATATTTAATTATTTGTTAATATTAAATTGAGGCCAAAGTTGTTAGGAACTCCAAACAAATTTGAGAGTCTAAAATGTTTTATAAAAAAATAAAATAATAATAATAATAATAATAATAATAAAAAAATATATATATATATTTGTGTTCGGGGCATTCTCATTGGATATGAAAATACTCTGGCGAAGAGGAATAAAACGACAAAGGAAATAGTCGGTTGAGGTGTGCCGAAACCGATGTATGCTGTAGGCTGGTAAATTAAGTGGGCCCACATAGAGGAAAGTATAGCTAATGGGAGTGGAGGGTGGGCCTGTTCGTCCAGACCAACGAAGGTAAGTAAGAGAAGGGGGGAGTCCCTTAAGTAGCTCTATAGCCCCTCCCACAACTTCAGGCCATGCCTTCCAATTTGTGTTCAGGGCATTCTCATTGGATATGAAAATACGCTGGCGAAGAGGAATAAAATGACAAAGGAAATAGTCGGTTGAGGTGTGCCGAAACCGATGTATGCTGTAGGCCGGTAAATTAAGTGGGCAAAAAGAGATAAATCAAAGATAACATTTATTCAGAAAACATAGTACATCATTACATATTTAAATAGACATCTTAATGAAAGCTCTCCTGATCTCTTGGACTGGGTTTGGAATGTACGTGGTGTAAGCCGAGGACTTCCAGCGACCCAATGTCTTAATTACGTGGGCTGGAATGTCTTGGCTAGATGCGGTGGAGGCTGCTCCGATTCTGAATGAGTGCCCTGAGTAGTTGCTAGGATTAAGACCAAGTCTGGTGATAAGCATACGGACATAAAGCATGAATTTTGCCGTGGTTAGAATTGCATCGTGTAGCATTAGTAGTGGTTTTGTGGTGCGTGTTGATGTTGTGGCTAAGAAAGCGTTGAGTACTTTCACCAGACACCACTTGTTCCCTGTGGGGTAGTAGGTTATGTGAACCGGTTCCCCCATCTGACTTGTTTTGGTCTTAGGTAGGGTCAGAACGTAGTAGTTGGTGTGTTTCCTGAGGTAGGAGGTGAGGAGGCACCCTTGGCTATGGTGCTGGCCACTAATGGTGAATTCTCTTGGTCTAAGAAACCCATAAAACGCTAGATAAATGGCGGTTTTAATGACCACATTCGTATGGGGTTCAAATGGTGCCTGGTCGAGAAGGTCAGACAAGAATTTGAATATTTTAATGTCAATAGCAAGTCTCTTGGGTGTTGCGGGGCCGTCTGCTTTTGCTATGCCTTTCAGTAGTGTTCAGATGGGGTAAGAAGTTAAGAATCCTTTGTGGTTAGGGAAAGAGCAATACATGTGGTGTTGTAGCCCCGTGAGGTACAGCTTAATAGTATTGTGTGAGAATTTAAATTTAAGGTGGCAAAAGGATGCAAAAGCTATCAGTGAAGAAACCTCAAACCAGTTGGCCAGGTGATGGTCAGACAATTGAAAAGCTCTGTGATACGCGTGTTGGGTGCTGGTGGATAAGGCTAATTTGGTGAGAACGTGGCTGTGCTGAAGTAGTTCGTCTACTCCATGATAAGATCTTGGAAAGTTGGAACTGGGGTTGCTACCCGAGCTGCCGAGGGTAGGGACAGTCTGAAAGCCTGAAATTGAAAGCGAGAGAGTTGGTCAGCTGCCGTGTTGTATATGCCGGGAACGTGAGAGCATACAATGTGGAACTGATGGGTAGCCGCCAGCCATGTAAGTTTCCTAAGGAAACTCATAATCGCCAAGGAGGAAGAGCGACCCTTATTGATAATGTGGCATATTGCCAGATTGTCAGAAAAGCAGCGTACGGACTGACCTTTCCACAACTTACACCAAGTGACTGCTGCAGCAACTATCAGGTATACTTCAAATAGGGCTGAGTTAGTGTGAAAACCCTCAATGTCCTGAGTTTCTGTAGGCCAGGTCCCCCAGAGCCATTTTGTGCCGAAAATGGCCACATATCCCGCAGATGATGCCGCTTCTGTCCAAATGACCGGTGACTGTGAGTCAATCTGCGGGAGGAACATGCTCCTCCCATTCCAGTCCGAGAGGAATTTGTACCACATCTGGAGGTCAGCGGTCGCAGGACCGTCCAAGGATATGCGGACATAGTCATTGGAGAAAGTGGGGAACAGGGCGAGGAGCCTAGAAATGAAAGCCCTGCTCTGGGGGATAATGCGCATGGCGAAATTTAGTGAACCCAAAAGTGATTGTAGTTCTTTACGATTGCAAGACTCCCTGTGCGTGTAGTGGCTAATGTCGTGTAGGATGTCAACGATCTTACCTCTAGGGAGGCTGGCCATCATTGTTGATGAATCCAGCAGAATACTAAGAACGTTTATGATTGTGTCTGGACCTTCGGTTTTAGTGGGTGACACGGGGACACCAAGGGAGGTGAATAGTTTGGTTGCTTTGTCTAGACTACGTGGGGGGGTGGAATTGGATTAGATGAAGAGAAAATCATCTAAGTAATGGATCACGTTTGGGCACCTGCAGGTATTTAAGCGGAGTCAACACAAAGCTTCTGCGAACGTGTCAAATATCCTCGGACTACTCTTGGCCCTGAAGGTGAGCTTTGTAAAGAAGTAGTAGGGTCCTTGCCACTTAACGCCATGCAGGTGCCACAAAGAGGGGTGAATAGGTAATAATTTGAAGGCATTTACAATATCAGTCTTGCTGAGCCAAGCCCCCAACCCTGCAGATCTGATAGCTGCAATTGCTTCATCAATCGTGGAGTATTGTAGGGAGAATTCTTCAGATGGAATCAATGAGTTTAGGCTGGGGATGGCTCAGGAGGGGGCTGCGGATAAGTCAATGATGAGTCTCAGTTTCTCAGAACTTTTGCTGGAAACCAGCCCGATATGGTTAGTTCTCCAGCTGGAAAAGGGGGGGTTAACAAAAGGCCCAATGACAAATCCCTGATCAACTTCATGTTGTAACAACGTGGTGACCGCCGTAGTGTGGTTAGTGGCAGACTGTAAATTGTGACACTCTATTACCCCAGTTGGCATGTAAATGAGCCCTGTGTGAAAACCTTGGGTGAGGCCTGTACATAAGAATTCCACAAGGTGTGTGGAGGGGTGAGTGGACAGCATACTTGCGAGTAAAGGAATGTTCACTGGAGACAAATAAGGTTTCTGGTACATTTTATTCGGGCACATGGATTTCGCATGTGCCCTGAAATAATGTGAGCACACCTGTAGTAAGCGGCAGGCGCTGTAACCGCAGGAGCCCTCATTGAAATTATTGCAAATCTGAGATTTGCCTAGATACACTACTGGACGACCCAGTTTGTCTCTAGTCTGTTTCTCAGCCTTTGGGGGGTGCTGTAAGGATGAGCCGGGAGCGCTGTCCGGACTGAGCGGGCAGAAATTGGCTGCGTGAGCGGGTGATGTACATATGGCACAAGCTGGTGTTTTAAGCCCTGCGAAATGTCTGAGGAACAGTTGGCTCCAATCCATCTGGATGCCGTACTGAGACAATGTTGCAGACACTTTTGATGAAAAGGACTTGTGGTAATCGTAAAAAGTATAGCCACCATACTTATTACCAAGGTCCACCAGCTTATGCATATATAGATCGAGTTCCTCCCTCCTATGGGGATGAGCCATGCATAGAATATCTCTAAAGATACCGAAGGCCAGAACGAAATCAGGAATGGCAATTTTCTTACTGAGTTTTTAAAACCACCGAGATGTCCCCGTAGTCGTAAGACCGGTTTTCCACGATATCCTGGGAGGCAATGAGCAGTGAGACTAAGTTAACGTCCTTGCCTTCCAGGATGTCCTTTTTTAGATTTGCCGGAACCATGTGGGCAGGATTAATAACGTGGGCGGCTGCCTTAGTGGCTATGGAATTACCCGTTATTGCTGTGGGTATGGCCGGGATTAATTCAGAGAGAGGGCCCGGAGGCTGTGCGGGGAAGCTACGGGCTTACAGCCTATCCAGCCTGTCGTTGACCTTCCCCATAGAAGAGATTAAGGCGGCAACCATAACATGGAGAGTCGGATCTTGAGAGCTGCCTGTGCCTTCCCCTGCGTCTGTATTAACGGTATTGGTTCTTAGCAATTTGAACAGTTCTGCTTTCCTGGCAGTAGCCGGGAAAGGAACACTGCGTTTACGTAATTCTGCAGTGTTGCGGGGGATAGTCCATGATCTGATGGACAAAGGACTTCCCGTGTTGCCCTTGCGGGTTGGAGTAAGTGACCTAGCAGGGGTGCTAGGGATTGACATATCCTCACCATGGTCTGGGAGTAGGGACATACTGCAAAAATATAATAGACATGTTGGTAACCAGGGTTGGGAATTGACAGGTGGCTAGCTAGTGCCAGATGGCAAAAGATTATTCTAGGTTTGTGACAGGTGAGGCCCTGCTAGTGCCAAGTGGCTATAGAGGCTCTATCTATGAGTTGGCGCGAGGGGCGTGGTAACCTATCTGGTGATGGGACGTTGGCCTCTCCATGCGTGTGGAGGGGGCGGGTGGCATTTGGCGGTGACTGGTGTTGCTCTCTATATAATTTGCGAGGCGGCTAACTATGATTTGGCACGAGGGGCGTATAGTACCTCGAAGTGGAGGATGGGAGTTGGCCTCGCGGACCGCTAGGATTAAGGGGCAGGGAAATAACTAAAACGGCCATGTTGAAAATAACGTGAAAATCCACATACCTGCAGAAAAATGAGCACTGGCTTCTGTATAGGAGAATTCAGAGGTCTCTTGAGTGGGGGGGGTTAGCTTAGGTGACCCGTCCGAGGGTATTCGGGTTCCTGGGGGTATGAGAATTTAGATAATGTACTCTAATGTGGAACATATACATAAGATGAATAATTGACGTAGTAAGTGCTTCTGGGGTGATTGCAGCGAGTACTGTCCCCACAATGTACACAATGCCACCGGTAGGCCATCTACTTTAACCTTAACCGTGGTATAATTATCTTAAGACTTTAACGTTGCTACTATACATGCAGATATCTCATAACATATCTAATCAGCAAAAGGTAAACATATATTATATAAACTATCATGTTTATCAAGCATATCATACCATATATATTTAACCAGCGTTCTAACTAGCAGTATTTGTATACATAACAGCAAAGTATTGAATAATAAAAGTATTGAAATGGGAAGTGTATGTTATTGTAATCATGAAGGCTGCAACTGGCTGAACTAAAGGTCAGCCAGCAACAGAAACGTACCATGTCCCCCTTTAAATTGTGCATGGCAGGTAGACTGGGTCTTACACTGAACCCAATTATTTGCCCCCTACCCTGTGTGTTGCCGGCGGGAACTGGGACCCCTTACGATATGGGGTCTGTGAGGCCTGTTCCCGCCCGTGTCGTTGTGTTTTGTCCCCCCCCCCCTTCAAACCATCATTACCTTCCCCCTTAAGACCGGGTATAGCCGGCGGCCGGGAACAGGGACTCCTAACGGTAATGGAGTCTCTGTACTTGCACCCGGGCCAGCTGTGCTGTTACCCAGTAGGAGCCATGCTTACCGGGGGGAGAGGCTGGTCGGGTTGGTGGCCTTAGAGAAGGTAGGGCCGGGTTGGAGAGCCGGTCCGGTTCTGGGGCCGGTGGTGCCGGGCTGAAAGTGCCGGTCCGGCTGTGGAGCCGGCGGCACTCAGCGTGTGACGTAGGAGGAATGCGCCGCGTCTCACCGGAAGTGACGCCACGAACCAGGAAGTCGGGAGGAACGGATGCTGGCGAGCCTGTTCGTCCAGACCAACGAAGATAAGTAAGGGAAGGGGGGAGTCCCTTAAGTAGCTCTATAGCCCCTCCCACAACTTCAGGCCATGCCTTCCAATATATAGTACATCATTTTCCATACTAATATAATTAGATATGGTAATCAAACAAACATTAAAGGAATACTAAATGCACTATGGCTATTTAATCTGTTTAAATAGTACCTGGAGCCCTCTACCGCTGTTCCTCCAGTCAATGTTATACCATTTTCAAACAGTTTAACACTAAACAGCCTGACCCCTACTGGAGGTGTGGCTAACATAGAGATTACACACTTCCTTGTAGCCATACCGATTTATACCAGTAGTGGGCACTATGATAGGATGAAAAGGGTCAGCCGACACTCTCAGCCAATCACATCCATCCATAGTGCTTACTTATTACCCAAAGCAGTACAGAGTGAATGGACTACTGGGGATTCTTGGTTAGCATTAAACCATAATCAAAAGTTTATGCATTAATCAAATTGATAAAACACCACTGTGTAGATTTAAAAAAACCAAACAGATTAGAAAAAAAATGCCAAAACCCAAGCATACTTAAAGGCTGGGATAGTGAATATGGGAGACTATCTGGGATTATTCAGTAGATCAGGAATTGTTAGGAATTGATTAGGTTTTACATCATTGATAAAATGTCATTTCACACCATATTTATTTTTACATAGAAGAAGGTATATCGACTTAAGACCATCATAGTTCACCATATACCATTCCTCAATAGAAACTACCACGGAATTTAAGATCAAGTAAATTAATTGAAAAATATTCTCATTCTTAGCTCTTCTACATTTATGGTAGTTTGATCCACAATTTACAATTTCCTGGTCGATTCCTTCCTGAGATAATTGAAAATAATAATGATTAACGTGGTGATGAATTGTCTGTTTATTGAATGGGACATGTCCATATTCCCCATTGACATTTACAATCCGTGCAGGTTATCAAATAAATCTCATTTATTGGACTGCAGTTAACGTACTCTTCATATCAGATTAGATATTTCAAGTTTGTGAAAATGCATGTTAAATTAAAAAGTAAAGCTATTATTATTGAATAAAGTCAGAACTTGAAGAGGTCTCCATGCCAGAAGCAGATATCAATATTCCACCTACAATACGTAAAGGGACACTATAGGCAGCTAGACCACATCTTCTCAGTGAAGTGGTCTAGGTGCAGTGGAAAGCATATTAGTATTGTAAAATATGACCGTTTTGTAGATACAAAAAATTAATTTTGTGGGGAGCCTTTCGTTTGCTTTGGCGCACGAACGGTTAGCTCTCCCTATTGACCCATAGCCCGTTCGTGCACTTGTGCTTGTCTGTACGTGCATTTGAACTCACGAACAGACATTTGAATTGGCACTCTATTGTATCCGTAGGAGGGGTGGGACTTCTGCGTTCCAGATGCCCCTCTTGCTTGTCAACTTACTGGAAGTTGTCTTTCTGCGCTCTTACTAGCGTGTACACTAGGCAATCTTTTCATTTATCCTTGTTTTATGTATTTATTTTATTATTTTTTTTATTTTTATTTTATTTTAACTTTCGTTATTGTGCTCTCTCCTCCCTTTTGGCACTTAGGGCTAAGGTATGGATGACCTAATTTGGTATATTATGCGTGATTTATATTGTTTTGTATTTATCAATTTGTGTTAATGATTTGCACTTAAGTGAATTATTGTTTAATTTCTTGTGGTATTGTTTGTTATATATGCACTTATGTTGGGTTTGTGGTGTTAGCTTGACAAAGACCTCTGTGAAGGTCGAAACGTTGCTGCTCTTTTTGCTCCATTAAATTCTGCCTGCGGCTTTTACACATGAGTGCCTGGAGATTTATTTTTTGTACTTAACGTGTTGGGATTGCTGGTCCTGCTCCAGAGCACCTGTGGCTACTAAAGGGATTGAGTGCGGTTCCTACAACTATCTTTGTTTTGTAGATACAGTCATGTTTTCACACACCTCAAGTGGTTGTCTTCAATGTCAAGTTTAATCAAATGCTGAACATGTGGTAGGTGGATTGGGAGGCTACAATGACAGTGTCTTGGCACTGGAAATAATGTAACTAAAAACATATTGCTGTTAGATTCTTGTTTAAGGAAATGGTGGGTGTACAGAGGTCACTGTGATAGTAGGGGACTTATAGTCCCGAAAAAAATAATATTGTTATCACGACTAAAGGTTCCGTCAAATGTCCATGCAGAATGGGCTCTTATCTAAAATGTGCTCATGTGAATGCACCTATGTAATATTGAATGTACAAGTAATCAATATATCTCCATCTATTTAAGGTTCAGTGCTACGATCCTGAGGACAATAAATGGGCATACATGGCTCCATCTCCGCTTTGCCAAAGGTGCATCAATGCCGTTGAGTTAGATGGAATAATTTACGTTGTTGGAGGAATGCAGAATACAATATTCAGTTATAACCCAGTAAATGACACTTGGGGTAATGCAACTAATCTCCCTGGACCACTGGTGAGTGATAGACACAGATTCATGGGGCATTATTAGCCAGGAGAGGACTCAAGATAAATGCTTGATCTGTGTGTTTGCCTGCCTGTCATTGGATGTATACAGTGTATAAGCAGAGAACATATTGCTTCTCCTACACAAAAATACCAATAGGATTTACTAACATGTTAATATTATTTATATATTGCCAACAGTTTCCACGGTGCAGATTAGAAACACTATAGAGTCAGTAACACAATCATGTATTCCTAATCCTATAGTGTTAAAAACACCATCTTGCCCCACTAAATATTGTACATTTGTACCTTTATTTCAGTCTGCTGCTACTGGCTATGCCCCTGATCTGCCTGCTTGGCTGACATCATCAGAAGTGATTCTCTCAGCCAATCACAATGTTTTCCCATAGGAAAGCATTGTATTAGCTGAGATTGTCAAGGAGGCAGATCAGGCAGAGCCAGTACAAGTCAAACACAGCCCAGGCCACTCAGCATCTGCTCATAGAGATGCATTGAATCAATGCATCTGTATGAGGAAAGTCAGGATTTCCATGCAGAGAGTAGAGACACTGAATGTCAGTCACACTGTGCAGCACTGACCCAGGAAGCACCTCTAGCAGCCATCTGAGGCGTTGCCAGTGGAGGTATCACTAGTCTGTAATGTAACACTGCAAAAAGCCTAAAGGGAATTATTATACTCATCAGAGCAAATACAATAAGCTGTAGTTGTTCTGGTCACTGTAGTGGTACTTTATGTGTTTTTTAAAACTTTTATTTCTTCATGTTGTCCGTCATATGTGCAGTTATAGCGTTCAAAACAATAGGAGTCCTTTTTACACAATTATTAGTCTTGCTACCAAATTAATGTAAATTCATTATTTATTTAATTCCTTTCTGTCTTGGCATTTTTTTTTGTATTGATTAATTTTTATAATTTATTATAAATGGTTTTTTTTGCAGGAAAGTTGTGGTTTGACGGTTTGTGGTGGAAATATTCACATCTTGGGAGGAAGTGATGAGAATGGAGAAGGAACAGACAAAGCATTTGTTTTTGACCCCAAAACAGGGGAAATTCATATTGAACTACCCTTGCGGCGTTGTATCAGCTATCATGGTTGTGTTACCATCCTGCATAATGCAGGCGCTTGGTAAAAAAAAACAGTATTCTAGATATATGAACTTGTGCCATAAACTGTATTGCCAGACATGATACAATGTCCAAATACCTCTGACTTTCTAACTTTTGTTTTGTAACTTTGCAGTGTTTGTTATATTTAAATGGCCTGTGTGTATATAGTTTACTTTGTGTACTGTTCTTTATGAACAACTAAATGTGAAAAAGGAGGGATCATATTCAGAAGTGAAAGATCGCATATGAAAGCTCTTATCTTCTTTGGAGATTTCAGAAGCTTTAAAATAGAGCTCTGTGAACAAATGTAGGACTTTTCCTGTTTCAACTCAGAATAGAATATACATTGTATCTCCCAAAGTTGGGATAATTCTTTCATGTACCAGATGCAAGCCTCCCAACCGAGCCAATTTCGTCAGGACAGTATCGAAATCAGAACTGTCCCTCCCTCCGTTCCAATTTTCTTGCCAATATTGGGAGGTATGCAGATTTGTGGAATGAGACTGCCTGTGAGCTGGCCGATTGTTTGTGGACAGTAATAGGATGTGTCTGTTATTTTCTGTCTGCTCACATTAAACTTGTGATGGAGAACCTGCAAGATCACCTATATTTACTTGTAGTGGACATATGTGGTCAAAGACAACTTGGTGCTGTTCCAAACTCTATATTATACAGTTCCGCACAAATATCATGGTTTTTACAGAGAAACGATATATAAAGCATAACTGAGCAAGATAAAGTCTTCTAACTACCCTTTGCAGGGTAAAAGATTAAGGCTCTTCTACCAAGCCTAGCCCAGAACCAGTACATCTCGGAAACATCATATGTAGGTACTTAAAGGAGCATAGGCAACATTTTAGTGGGACATGGCTGGAACCAGGATTCTAGGATGTGGCTGACCACTTGCTGTGTTTGAGTTATTACTGATAATTAGAGCAAGTTATAGCATCATAGCCTTATAATAAACCAGATTGATGGCAAGCATAGGGCCCCAAGCACTATCAGATCTTACACAAACCAGCTTTACAAAATGATGTTCTTATTATTACTCCTTTACGTATCATCTCTAATGCATGTGCCAGCGTCACTTTAAGACCCATTTACTATCACGAAGGTGCCGTTTTCCTTCTTTTGCTATAACCTGAACAGCATGTTCGAACACGGTCGGTACATGGAATGAGTTGGTATTAATTGGACAGTGCCAGACATTAAACAGTGCATTTGTATTGTAGCAATGGAATATCATCAATTCATTTCTGAAAATATGTCTCCGACATAAAAACCTTTCAAGTTGCCAGTGAACTTATTGTTCTGATGAATTTTTTAGGCATGGGTTATGTTTTAAAGTGACCGTATCCTGTCCCCCCATCTTAGGAATTCCAGATAGAATTTAATTTATGATCTCTCAACACAATAATGTATGAATCTAACTAAATATTTGGTACAAAACACACATATCTTTCTTCAGCACATACCATTTGTAGTGTTAGAAGATCACTGTATTTCCTGTCCTGATTGTTGTAGCTATTCTTTGTCACTGTTAGGCATCCCTATGCGACAGGTGTCTATAGAGATAGACCTAATCTGCCATTGTTTGCCATGTCTATTTTTATTTTTAGCATTTATATGGCAGCAACATATTCTGCTTTTGTAATTATAGGAAGGGGAACATGTGAAGAAGGCACCACTCAAATGAGCTTACACTCTATGAAAATTTGAGGTAGACAGATATATAACATTAAAAAAATGAAACATTTTCCTGTTCACTATCCCAAATCCCTAAACACATTTAAATACGTGGAGGTTTTTAGAATCACTCCAATGGCCATTCAAGTGTACGCTCACCTGCTACGTCAAGGCAAAACCTCTTAGGTGAGTCCTACACTAACAATTCAGCTATCTTTAGATGTCTTGCTCAGGGACACTCACCGTTGAGGTGGTCTGACCGGTAACCCGGTTCAAGCTTTTCCATCCAGCCAACTCCTTCTGCCAGTCTTATCATGACTTACTGTATTCTTTGAAGTTCCAATTAAAATCTTAGCACACACCTACAATTCATCTCTACCTAAACGTTTCATTTCTAATATGAAGTACACGCTTCTCTGCCACCAATGGTGACCTCTCTATATGACTGTAGGACCCTTCTTATAGACCGTCCTTTCTTCATGAAGAAATCAGCATTTTGCTTAGTCTCTAGTCCTTTAAGAAATGTTAAAAAAAAAACGAAAGCAAAACAGTATCCTGGCAAAGCATGTCATGCTCCGGCATGTATTTCTGTTACGCTAGCTTGTTTCACCCTATTGCACTTTTGCTCTCTGTGTGTGTGTGTCACGTCTTGTATGTGTCATGTGTTTAGATTTAGATTAGACACATGTTGCGTTATCTTTTCTCTTGTGAAAATTGCTCTTTATCTCTTGTGTAAATACTCCTCACTTCTAAACTGCAAAGCTATTTGTATACCACCTCTTACAATGTCACCGTGTGTTTTTATATACTAATTGTTCAGTACTGCAGGATGCGTTGGGTCACTCTTAATAAATATAAATAATACAGTAATGTGAACTGTAGATTTTATTTTAAGCAAGGTGATTAATTGCTAAGAAGAACAGTGATCAGTGAAAAAACAGAAACTCTAAAACATATACAATATTTTTACAATAACACTGCACAGTGTGTAACACAGTGTTTAATTATCCAAATATCCTTTTCAGATACAACGTTTCTTTAACAAATAATCCTCACGTACCCAGTTAACTAGCTGTCCTGACAACAAACAAGATGCAATGGGGCATCATGGGGGAATTGTACATTAACTCAGGAATTATGAACAAATGTTAGACCAAAACTTTATATACAACAGATAGTGACCGAAGATAGCAGTATGGTCCCGATATTGCGAAACCTAATATTCAGTGTTTGTTTTGAAGGTTTCCACAAATAAAGCATGTTACACAGTTCACCCAACTAGTATAGCATTTACTGGAGTTAATGCAAAAACGGAACTGGCCCTGATATTACTTATTTAATAACGCACGTATGACTCCTAAAATGTTAGCCTTTAAACCAAGCCAATACCCTACTCATAGAAAAAGTATGATATTTGATGTGGAATAGGACAATGGCTACGATATTTATTATTGTTTTAACCAGTAAAAAGACAAGAATGAAAGTATCTGTTACACGCAGACTCATGGTCTATAGAAAGGAAGTTACATGTGATCAGTCAATTTCGATAGTTCTTTATGGGAGCTTGCATAACACCACAGATCAAGGTACAATGTCAAACAGTTACATTATTACAATTTTAAAAAAAAAGTTATAAAAGCAGGGTGATTGTCTAAGACATGGGTGTCCAAATTTTTGGCTTCCCCAGGCCACATTGGGCGAAGAGGAATTGTCTTCAGGCACACATAAAATATATAATATAAGTAACTAATATAATACAACGTCAAAAGCCTTTTTCTTATTTTGATATTTCATTTGTTTAGTAGATCACTCCCTTATTTGTTATCCCTATATGGGATTGCCATATTTAAGGATACAAAATTATGTAGCTCTCTACTAAACAGGGAACAAAAAATTATACAATTAGAATAATATATACATGTTATTACCAGTATTTGACCATTAAGGCCCTGATTTATTATATATATTTTTAAATTCTTTGTTTTTGAGTGCAGAGTTAAGTAGACGTTTCAGCAATGTCACACATGACATGAGAGAGATTAACAATCGCTTTGAGTAATCATTGTGTGCTGCTATTTAAAAAAATTTTAAGACAAGAGTAATAGGAAAATGCATACAGGCTTATTGACAATCTGATTGGACACGTCTAGACCTAGCTGGGGTTGTGTGTTTTCGATTACATAACCTTGCTGGACATGTGATAATAAATTAAATGAAAATGAAAATAAGGAATTTCAGGATGATGCTAATTATGTCAGGCTTCGAGAAGTAGTGTAGAGCATACATTAATTATGCCGGACATGTGATAGTGATCCTACTGGTACTGAATCTAGGAATCAAGATAGCCGCTCCATACACTGTGCATAAACGTAAATTAATCCCTTTAACCGTTAAGGATTAGTGATGTCCCGAATGGTTCGCCACGGTTCGCCGCGAACGGTTTGCCACGGACTCCAGTCAACAGACACATTCCACCCAATCAGCAGCAGACCCTCCCTCCCAGACCCTCCCACCTCCTGGACAGCTCACTAAGAATGCAGCTTCAAAATGGATGCTGTCCAGGGGGTGAGAGGGTCTGGGAGGGAGGGTCTGCTGCTGATTGGCTGGAACGTGTCTGCTGACTGGAGTCCATGGCGAACCATTCGCGAACCATTCGGCAACCGTTCGGGACATCACTATTAAGGATGCATGATGGAAATCTTCCATCATTTACTGAAGTTAACCTCAGAACGCAGCATCCGCGGGGTTAATGCTCCTCCGGTCTGCCTCGATATCTGAAATTAAATTTTTTTTTTTTAACCCTCATGGGTTAAATTTATTTTATTATTTAATTTAATTGATATATTCAGCTAGCTCGGGTGGGTGGAAGTTAGTGACGAATTGGGTGTTAGGCTGGCTAGGGGTTAACGTAAATTTTTTTTAAAAAGTGTAAGAAATGCAGCATGTATGTAAAAATTCAATTTTATCCCCTCTGCACAAACATTGGCAAAAATTGGTGAAAAAATAGTGACAAGTGAAGGCACAATAAAAGCCATATAAGATATCCTGGAGTGTCTGCTTTATCAAATGAAAGCCCTTTGTGGGGTTATTTAAACAGTCAAGCTGCTATCAGACATGTGCAATTAATTTTGTTCCGAATGTACTTTCGTTCGAATTTCATGCCATTCGGACATTCGGATGCTTACGAATGTCCTAGGTGTCGAAGTTTCCAAAGCATGAAGTTCCAAAGTGACGACGTTCGGCAGTTCCAAAGTGCCGAACCGAATACTATTGGTTCGAATTACCGAAGCAGACAACTTTTTTAACTTACCCGAATTTCTGAACCGAAACAAACCAAATTTTTTGCACATGCACATCCCTAACTGCTATAATAGCCCAAAATGAGACATAGGCCCATCAAATCCATCTATTCTAAAATTCGAACTACTGTAGAGATGCATTTAATCAATGCATCTCTATGAGGAAAATTCAGCGTCCCCATGCAGAGCGTGGAGAGGCTGAACGGCATTGCTGCCTACTGTGCAGCACTGTCCCAGGAAGCACCTCCAGTGGCCATCTGAGGAGTGGCCACTTGGAGGTGTCATTAGGGGCAATGTAAACACTGCCTTTTCTTTGAAAAGGCAGTGTTTGCATTAAAATGCCTGAAGGCAATGATTATACTCACCAGAACAACTACATTAAGGTGTAGTTGTTCTGGTGAATATAGTGTTCCTTTAACCCCTTAAGGACACATGATATGTGTGACATGTCATGATTCCCTTTTATTCCAGAAGTTTGGTCATTAAGGGGTTAAACAGTCAAGCTGCTATCAGACATGTGCAATTAATTTTGTTCCGAATGTACTTTCGTTCGAATTTCATGCCATTCGGACATTCGGATGCTTACGAATGTCCTAGGTGTCGAAGTTTCCAAAGCATGAAGTTCCAAAGTGACGACGTTCGGCAGTTCCAAAGTGCCGAACCGAATACTATTGGTTCGAATTACCGAAGCAGACAACTTTTTTAACTTACCCGAATTTCTGAACCGAAACAAACCAAATTTTTTGCACATGCACATCCCTAACTGCTATAATAGCCCAAAATGAGACATAGGCCCATCAAATCCATCTATTCTAAAATTCGAACTACTGTAGAGATGCATTTAATCAATGCATCTCTATGAGGAAAATTCAGCGTCCCCATGCAGAGCGTGGAGAGGCTGAACGGCATTGCTGCCTACTGTGCAGCACTGTCCCAGGAAGCACCTCCAGTGGCCATCTGAGGAGTGGCCACTTGGAGGTGTCATTAGGGGCAATGTAAACACTGCCTTTTCTTTGAAAAGGCAGTGTTTGCATTAAAATGCCTGAAGGCAATGATTATACTCACCAGAACAACTACATTAAGGTGTAGTTGTTCTGGTGAATATAGTGTTCCTTTAACCCCTTAAGGACACATGATATGTGTGACATGCCATTATTCCCTTTTATTCCAGAAGTTTGGTCCTTAAGGGGCAAAACACTATTGCCCCCCTTATCACTGGGTTCTCTATATATATCTATGGGATAAATGGACCTTTGTATACATATTGTCAATTGGATCCTTTGTGACATTTTGTGAATCAATCAATATTTAGGTTTTGCAAATGAATGGTCACTTCCTATTCACTGCTTATAAAATGTTGTTTAATGTTTGATAAGGTTCTCATGAAAAAAAGTCCAAGTCAGGCTGAAAGGTTGACTGTACCTTTGCACAAATAAAGGATATATTGCACAAGACTACAAACCCTCTAAGTGCATTTCTCTGGGACGTTTTATATATATACACAGGCTGGCCCACTGTGTGCTCCTATCACAACTAGGACTACTACTGCCTTCAATTTCTACATCCTTTCTAGCTCCTCTTTTATTCTTTGGTATATGTCCATCTTCTTATGTCCCTACTTCCCTATGTTATAGTCACTGGGTATAGCCATATCCACCACCACTCACTGCAGTCTTTTCTTGTCTTCCCAACAATGTCAGATTGGTTGGCCAGCACTTGCTTGTCTGTCTGGATCTGAAAGTCCAACAGGATCCTAGCCCTGTCATTCTCAACTACCCTTTGTGGTATCTCCCAAGGCAAGTCCAGCCCACATTTGGTGCAGATATTACAGTACACAATCCCAGCAATGTGGTTGTGCCTCTCAGTGTATGTTGTCCCTGCTAATATCCTGCACCCGGCTATTATGTCAGAGGCCTCTTTGCACAGTCTGCACCTTGGGTCTTGTCTGGAATGGTAGACCCCAGCTTCCATTGATCTGGTGCTGAGTGCCTGTTTCATTGCTGCTAGAATTATTGCTTCAGTGCTGTCTATCTGCCAGTGGTACACCCCATGGAAAGGTTTGTCTTGCCATGGAACCTCTTCCTTTTCTGCATCCTCTATCTGTTGGTGTCTCAGGCATTCCCTTAGCAGTTCAACTTTGGGAGCCATCTTCATTATCTACTTGTAGAGGCACTATGTTCCATTCCGGACTGTGGTCTTGACACTCATCGGCTCCTTCCAGCTGGTGTACAGTCTCTGAGTGCTGAATTTCGGGTGGAATCCTCAATTCATAGTAAGTAGTTTCCAGGTCTTGACATCCACAGTGACCAACTCTTTTCTTGACCAAGTCATTATTCCAGCTGGGTACCTGATTATTCCAGCGGGGTACCTGATTATTCCAGCTGGGTACCTGATTTTTCCAGCGGGGTACCTGATTATTCCAGCTGGGTACCTGATTTTTCCAATGGGGTACCTGATTATTCCAGCTGAGTACTTGATTATTCCAGCGGAGTACCTGATTATTCCAGATGAGTACTTGATTATTCTAGTGGGGTACCTGATTATTCCAGCTGAGTACCTGATTATTCCAACTGGGTACCTGATTTTTCCAGCTGGGTACCTTAATATTCCAGCGGGGTACCTGATTATTCCAGCTGGGTACCAGATTTTACAGCTGGGTACCTGATTATTCCCGGTGAGTACCTGATTATTTAAGCTGGTAACCTGATTTGTCCAGCTGGGTACTGATTTTTCCAGCTGGGTACCTGATTATTCCAGTGTGGTACCTGATTATTCCAGCTGGGTACCTGATTATTCCAGCTGAGTACCTGATTATTCCAGCTGGGAACCTGATTATTCCAGCTGGGTACCTAATTATTCCAGCGGGGTGCCTGATTTTTCCAGCTGGGTACCTGATTATTCCAGCGGGGTACCTGATTATTCCAGCTGGGCACCTGATTTTTCCAGCTGAGTACCTGAATATTCCAGCTGGGCACCTGATTATTCCAGCTGAGTACCTGATTATTCTAGTGGGGTACCTGATTATTCCAGCTGGGCACCTGATTTTTCCAGCTGGGTACCTGAATATTCCAGCTGGGCACCTGATTATTCCAGCTGAGTACCTGATTATTCCAGCAGAGTACCTGATTATTCCAGCGGGGTACCTGATTATTCCAGCTGGGTACCAGATTTTCCAGCTGGGTACCTGATTATTCCAGCTGAGTACCTGATTATTCCAGCTGGGAACCTGATTATTCCAGCTGGGTACCTAATTATTCCAGCTGGGTACCTGATTTTTCCAGCTGGGTACCTGATTATTCCAGCTGGGCACCTGATTTTTCCAGCGGGGTACCTGATTATTCCAGCTGGGCACCTGATTTTTCCAGCTGAGTACCTGAATATTCCAGCTGGGCACCTGATTATTCCAGCGGGGTGCCTGATTTTTCCAGCTGGGTACCTGATTATTCTAGTGGGGTACCTGATTATTCCAGCTGGGCACCTGATTTTTCCAGCTGGGTACCTGAATATTCCAGCTGGGCACCTGATTATTCCAGCTGAGTACCTGATTATTCCAGTAGAGTACCTGATTATTCCAGCTGGGCACCTGATTTTTCCAGCTGGGTACCTGAATATTCCAGCTGGGTACCTCATTTTTCCAACGGGGTACCTGATTATTCCAGCTGAGTACTTGATTATTCCAGCGGAGTACCTGATTATTCCAGATGAGTACTTGATTATTCTAGTGGGGTACCTGATTATTCCAGCTGAGTACCTGATTATTCCAACTGGGTACCTGATTTTTCCAGCTGGGTACCTGAATATCCCAGCGGGGTACCGGATTATTCCAGCTGGGTACCAGATTTTACAGCTGGGTACCTGATTATTCCCGGTGAGTACCTGATTATTTAAGCTGGTAACCTGATTTGTCCAGCTGGGTACTGATTTTTCCAGCTGAGTACCTGATTATTCCAGCTGGGCACCTGATTTTTCCAGCTGGGTACCTGAATATTCTAGCTGGGCACCTGATTATTCCAGCTGAGTACCTGATTATTCCAGCAGAGTACCTGATTATTCCAGCTGGGCACCTGATTTTTCCAGCTGGGTACCTGAATATTCCAGCTGGGTACCTGATTTTTCCAACGGGGTACCTGATTATTCCAGCTGAGTACTTGATTATTCCAGCGGAGTACCTGATTATTCCAGATGAGTACTTGATTATTCTAGTGGGGTACCTGATTATTCCAGCTGAGTACCTGATTATTCCAACTGGGTACCTGATTTTTCCAGCTGGGTACCTGAATATTCCAGCGGGGTACCTGATTATTCCAGCTGGGTACCAGATTTTACAGCTGGGTACCTGATTATTCCCGGTGAGTACCTGATTATTTAAGCTGGTAACCTGATTTGTCCAGCTGGGTACTGATTTTTCCAGCTGAGTACCTGAATATTCCAGCTGGGCACCTGATTATTCCAGCTGAGTACCTGATTATTCCAGCAGAGTACCTGATTATTCTAGTGGGGTACCTGATTATTCCAGCTGGGCACCTGATTTTTCCAGCTGGGTACCTGAATATTCCAGATGGGCACCTGATTATTCCAGCTGAGTACCTGATTATTCCAGCAGAGTACCTGATTATTCCAGCTGGGCACCTGATTTTTCCAGCTGGGTACCTGAATATTCCACCTGGGTACCTGATTATTCCAGTTGAGTACCTGATTATTCCAGCTGAGTACCTGATTATTCCAGCTGGGTACCAGATTTTCCAGCTGGGTACCTGATTATTCCAGCTGAGTACCTGATTATTCCAGCTGGGCACCTGATTTTTCCAGCTGGGTACCTGAATATTCCACCTGGGTACCTGATTATTCCAGTTGAGTACCTGATTATTCCAGCTGAGTACCTGATTATTCCAGCTGGGTACCAGATTTTCCAGCTGGGTACCTGATTATTCCAGCTGAGTACCTGATTATTCCATCAGGGTACCTGATTATTCCAGCTGGGCACCTGATTATTCCAGCAGAGTACCTGATTATTCCAGCTGAGTACCTGATTATTCCATCAGGGTACCTGATTATTCCAGCTGAGTACCTGATTATTCCAGTTGAGTACCTGATTATTCCAGCAGGGTACCTGATGTCAGGTTGGAAATATGTGTTGATGGCTTGGATTTTCTCATTGAACTTCAGGACCTGTCTGACTCTGTGGAGGTACTTGGATGTTGCAATCCTCCTTACCTCTTGTGGTACTCTCTGGTACTTGTAGCATGTTGTCTTTAAATAGCTTGTCAGCTTGTAACCTTTGCCAGCTATGCCGCCCTGTGCTGATCGTGAGGTGATGGAGCTTAAAGGAACACTATAGTCACCTAAACAAGTTTAGCTTAATAAAGCAGCTTTTGTGTGTAGATGCCTCTAAAGTTTCACTGCTCAATTCAGTGCCATTTAGACGTTATATCACTTTGTTTCTGTTTATGCAGCCCTTGCCACAGCTCCCCTGGCTCTGATTGACAGAGCCTACATGAAAAAAAGAAACTGGTTTCACTTTCAATAATATGTAACTTACCTTAAACAATTGTATCTCCTGCTCTGTAAATTTAACTTTAATCATATACAGGAGGCTCTTGCAGGGTCTAGCAGGTGAATAAAAAACAAAACAAAACAAAATAAACAGAACTTGCAATAAAGGAAGGATAAATATTAGATGATCCTTTACAGGAAATGTTTAGGAAGGCTGTGCAAGTCACATGTAGGGAGGTGTGCCTAGGGCTGCATAAACAACGTGATTTAACTCCTAAATGGCAGATAATTGAGCACTGAGACTACATGGGGCATGTTCTATACACCAAAACTGCTTCATTAAGATTTTGGTGACTATAGTGTCCCTTTAACGAGAGGGAGCGAAGCCTAGTTTCCTCTCTCTACAAAACACCCAGGATCGGCTCTGATGTCTGGGACATAACTTAATCAACAACCAAATAATTTAACAAACTACGAGACATCAGCGTGCCGATACAAAAACATTTTAAATACTCAAAACATTTTCTTTATTTAATAATTAATTTTCTCTTAATGTATTAATGCCACTTCATTGACAAATGATTGTGAACATTTTCACAAGCTGAAGTTATTTCTATGGCATTATTACCGTGCAATAAATTTTAGCTAATTAAGAACAGTTAAATTCAAATTTCCCTTTTCCACTGGCAATTAAATAGTAAAACGTGTCACATTTTTTACAACAACTCTTTTTTTCACTTCTAAATTGCAATCTAATTGACCTATAAATTAGTTCTGCTAAGTAAATACCTGCATCTTCTGAAACAAAGCTTAAAATGATAACATCATCTCGGGGGCAACATACAAAATAGTGATCAGGTAGAAAACCTGTACAGTCTATCACTAACTGAAAGCTACAAAAACAAAGGGTTTAATTTCCTTATGTCTGAACTCAAA